CACACACGCTTGTTTACGCCAGTGCGATCTGAGGCGCAGGTTTTAAATGCTCTTGTAGTCTGATCTAACATATTAACTATAAATAAAAGTTAACTCAAGCAAAGTTTAGGCCAGCAACCATCCAATCAATCCAATCCACTTTATTTCTATAGTACATTTCACAAACGGTTTCCAAAGTGCTGCACAAATACCTAATAATAACAACAATAATCATATAATAATAAAATAAATGCTCAGATTTAATCGTACTAGTCTTAAAATAATAAAACCAGTCAGATAAAATAGGAGCAAAATCATAGAATAGCAATAAATAATAAATATAGCCAATAAAATACATTAAACATTAATACAATAAAGACACAGAGGAGTACACAACTCACGCAGTGTTAAAAAACAGAGAATAAAAGTGGGTTTTAAGACGAGACTTCAAACACTGTTCAGATGTAGTGGGGGCAGAGTGTTCCAGAGTTTGGGGACGGTCACAGAGAAGGCCCCGTCCCCACTGGTTTTAAGTTTTGTCTTAGGCCCACGAGCTGGAGCTGGCCCTCGGACCTTGGACCTCAGAGTGCACGCGGGGGAGTAAATTTGGATGAGGTCCGAGATGGGGCCAGTCTATTCAAAGCTTTAAAAACAAACTAAACTACTGACAGACACACACACACAGCTGCTGTCAACATGCTGCATTATATTATATTATTTTTATGGACGATCATTTTGAGTCAGGATTAAAAGGACACTTCTTCGTGCAGACTTGTGATCTGAGAGGTGCCTGAGTGAGTGATGAGTGTTGAAAATGTGTTGGTTTCATAGACTGTATACCGTATTTTCAGACATTGTCCAGACCCCCGTTTGTCCCTGGACACGGACGTTTGGTCACGTTTGTCTATTAAAAATGAAAGTAATCGATGAAATTCTTAATAATCAATTATCGATTAATTGATTAATCGTGCCCATCCCTAATATAAACGTTACTGGACACGCACTGAAGTGTGAATGGTTGGCATTTATGAATATAATGAATTACGGCAGCATGGATATATTTACGATAACGATAATGCTAATAGCGGTAGTTTACTTTGTTACTGACAATATGATGCAAAAATTCCATTAGACTAACCTACTGTCTTTAAATTTAAGTGTAAAGAGGCAAAATAACAGTAAATTTAGCCTAAATAAACCCAATTTATAATCCAATCTAAATTTTAAAATCTGTCGAAGATTTACAGTGACTTTTTACATCACTAAATATATCGGCTTTTATATCGGCAGCTCCAAAGTCCCTTTTATTGGAATCATATCAGAGCCAAAAAAAATCCATATCGGTCAGGTCCCAATTATAACATGACTTAAAGCTCAAAAGAATCAATTTTGTGTAACATAGGAGCTTTGTTTTGACCTCTTGAAGGACTTTCTGTACACAGCTGACCACTTTTATCATGTAAATCCATATCTGATAGGATTGGGAGCACGGCGAGCGTCACCGTTTGTTTACCCTCCCTCTCCCCTCCTCTTCATGCTCACGGACATTTTTAAAGGGAAATTCCATGGCTTGTGATCACGTCTGAATCTCCGAAAGACTCGTACGACTTTATGGAAGGTCAAATAGTAATCTGGACGCGGCGTTTGGGGCGTGCGAGCCAAAAACCACAACTCACGAAGAGGCAACACTACTTTATCATTGGCCCATTAACCTAGAGCTCACCTCTGCAAACATGGACTGTATATCTGTGGGAGAAGGAAAAAGAAAAAAAAGGAAATCTTTTTAGGGGTGTTCCATGTGGATGTCTGCATCCTCTGCCCCTCTCCTCTGCATCCTCTCCTCCTTCTGACCCTCTTGACTGCATCTTCTGTTCCTCTGACCCTCTCCTCTGCTCCATCTGACAATCTTCTCTGCTTCTTCTGACCCTCTCCTCTGCATGTTTTGCTCCATCTGACATCTCCTCGGAATCCTCTGACCCTCTCCTCTGCTCCATCTGTCCCTCTCCTCTTCTCCTCTGACCTTTTGTCTCCTCTGCTCCTTCTGACCCTCTCCTCTGCATCTTTTGCTCCATGTTACCTTTCCCCGGAATCCTTTAACCCTCTCCTCTGCATCTTCTGCTCCTCTGACCCTCTCCTCTGCATTTTTTTTACACCCTCTGACTCCTTGGAATCTTCTGACCCTCTCCTCTGCATCTTTTGTTCCATCTGACCTCTCCTCGGGATCCTCTGACCCTCTTCTCTGCTCCTTCTGATCATCTCCTCTCCTCCGTCTGACCCTCTTATCTGCTCCTCTGACCCTCTTCTCTGCATCCTCTGCTCTTTCTGACCCTCTCCTTTGCATCTTCTGCTCCTCTGACCCACTCGTCCACTCCACCTGACCCCCTCCTCAGCTCCTTCTGACCTTCTCCTCTGCATCTTCTGCTCCATCTGACCCTCTCCTCTGTATCCTCTGCTCCATCTGACCCTCTCCTCTCCTCCTTATGACCCTTTCCACTGCATCTTCTGCTCCTCTGACTCTCTCCTCTTCTCCATCTGACCCTTGTCACTGCATCCTCTGCTTTTTCTGACCCTCTTCTCTGCATCCTTTGGTCCTTTTGACTCTCTCCTCCGCTCCATCTGACCCTCTCCTCTGCATCCTCCGCTCCATCTGACCCTCTCCTCTGCATCTTTTGCTCCATCTGACCTCTCCTCGGAATCCTCTGAACATCTCCTCTGCTCCTCTGACCCTCTCCTCTGCCTCTTCTCCTCCTCCTTACCCTCTCCTCTGCATCTTCTGCTCCTCTGACTCTCTCCCCTGCTGCAACTGGCTCTCTCCTCTGCATCTTCTGCTCCATTTGACCTCTCCGATGAATCCTCTGCTCCATCTCACCCTCTCCTCTGCATCTTCTGACCCATGTGACCCTCTCCTTTGCTCCATATGTCCCTCTCCACTGCTCCTCTTCTCCATCTGACCCTCTCTCGTGCTCCATCTAACCTTCTCCTCTTCATCCTCTACTCCATCTAACCCTCTCCTCTGCACCGTCTTCTCCTTCTTACTCTCTCCTCTTCAACCTCACTCAACCTCTACACTAATCTAACTGAAATTGAACTACTCTGGGTTTGTGGACGACTGCTCTACCACAGAGACACTCTAAATATTGTTTTTTTTTTTCTTTTTTTTATACCACACCCATCCCCACCATCACGCCTGCACCACTTCACCTCTTTTCAACACTCGTTCATAAAATACAGCTGAAGGAACCCTCGAGCACGTAGACAACACGAACAGAAAATGGTACAGTGGTTTTAATTTGCGATGAGAGTTGTTGAAGATGGAGGAGAGGTCTTGGAGGAGACTTCCATGTAATAAGACGGCTCAGAGCAGTATATGGACTACTATTTTATAACATACAAATAGAATTATGGTATACAAAGAAAATATGTCCTCTGCATTTGACCCACCCTTCAGTGTCTCTGGGTTAAACCTGTCAGGAGCAGGGGACCCATGTTTTTGGTTGAGTTTAAGTTTGAAGGACCCATTTTAGACTATTTTCTGATCTATGTACATACCTGGAGTTGTGTTTTGTGATTTAAAAAAAAAAGTTGCACAATGCACCTTTAACTACTTTAGCTACCTATACCTTTGTGATCCATAGACAAAAATGGGCAATTCCAGGACTGAAATCATTCAGTTCATGACATCGTGAGTTGGAATAGGCTACGTTCAGACTGCAGGGCTTCATGCTCAATTTGGATTTTTTTGTGAAATCCAATTTTTTTGCGAGGTCGTTCACGTTTCCATTTAAATGTGACTTGTATGTGATCTCCAGTGTGAACTTTAAACGCCACAAAAGTGTCAGAAGTCGCCTAAACGCTGAGCTTGTCTCCTAAAAATATGGTCCTGTTCTTGGTAAAATGGACAGGTTACACGTCCACGGCCGCTTCGTTTGTTTGAGTCTTTAACCTCCTTGTATTTGGCTCATAGGCTCTTTATTTTTTGTTGACATTGGAGCCAGGACCGTTGTAGTGAAGAGGGAGCTGATTCAAAAGGCGAAGCTCTCAATTTACCGGTCAATCCTCCCCTCACCTATGATCATGAGCTCTGGGTAATGACCGAAAGGACGAGATCGCAAATACAAGTGGTCAAAATGAGTTTCCTCCACAGGGTGGCTGGGCACTCCCTTAGAGATACGGTGAGGAGCTCAGTCACACGGGAGGAGCTCGGAGTAGAGCCGCAGCTCCTCCACGTCGAGGGGATCCAGTTGAGGTGGCTCAGGCATCTGTTCCAGAGGTGTTCCGAGCATGTCCCACCAGGAGGAGGCCCAGGGGAAGACCCAGGACATGCTGGAGGGACTATGTCTCTGGGCTGGCCTGGGAACACCTCAAGATCCCCTCCGAAGGAGCGGGGGGACGTGTCTGGGGTGAAGGAAGTCTGGGAGTCCCTGCTTAGACTGCTGCCCCCACAACCCGTGCCCAGATAAGCAAAAGAACATGGATGGATGGAGCCAAGACCGTCTGTAGCCGCGTTTGGACATTTCTTTGGCCATTTGGTCATTTCAAAAACCGCCCGGTTCCGATAAAACCCCTCCAATTTGTCCTGAATACAGCTATTCCCCCAAATATTAATAAACTCTCTAACCTCGCTTTCCCTCCATTGACTAGACTCCGAGCTTGACGTGTAGGTGGATGAATGTGACCTGGCCTTTCAGAATGAAGTCGCATGTCAAAAGATCAGATATGTATCGGTTTTAGGAGTGAATATCGGTGCTCATATATGTGTTGTTCAGACTGTCATTAAAAGATCAGATACTGGTCGTATAAGAGTGAAAGACTCCAGCTATGTTTTTGTTAAGGCTCCAACATTATAACATAGATCTGAAAATAGTGTGATATGAGCCCTTTAAAGAAAAAAAAAAACATTGAATGTAAAGATGTATCCAAACTTTTCACTTTTTCTGTAAAACTCCAAAAATCGACCGTTACACCGTGTAGATTCCTACTCAAACATACAAGAAAATTCCACGTGTTTCCTGTGATCTTACCTGTCCGAGGCACGTCATGGTATTGGCGTCCATTTTGTCGCATTGACTGTCACACTCCAGGCAAACCGACCCATTGGCGAACTCCCTCGTCTCCCTGATACAAACAGATAGAAACATGTATTATAGATTTGAACGTGTGCTGCCGTTGAAATATTGATTCCCCTCTCCTCCACCTGCATGGGAATTCTCGACACAGGCACGCGGCAAGGCTCTCCGCTCTCTCTTTAACTATTTCAGAAATACAGTGCGGGAAGTGGAATTTTAAGGTTTATTTGGCGAGAGGCTGCGGGGTGAGCGAGATTGTTTGATCACGTTAAGGGCTCGCGTGGTGCGTAGAAAAGAAAACGGAGAAAAGAAGAAGTGAATTATGGATGGCTTCTTAAATGATGGTAGGAGGAGAAAAAAAAAAGAAAGAGAGAGGTAGAGTTTTGGTTTGCAGAAAGAGGCGTCTGTAGGGAGGTTGGGGAAATGTGGAGAGGGGAAAAATGGATTCCACACACAGACAATTTCAATAAAATATATTGTTAGCTTTTATTATGTTTCAGTCAGGTTAAAGGGCCTCTAGTTCTTACGTACTTTCCCCAGTACAGAAATATCGTATAAAGCAGCTGTTGAGGTCAAAATAAGTCCACTGTGTACTGTCTGCATAAAAAAGGCTTTTTATTATCTGAGAATCAGGAAGTGCGCAGTTAGCATAGTTGTTGTTAGCTTTATTGTGATGGTAAAACTTCATTCTGGTCTCTCAAAGTTGTGAAAATATACATACGATAAGCAATCGATAAATTTGGACCACTGCATTTGTGTTTTCCACTTTTTTAAAAGTAAAAATCAGGTACAGCGTACAGTAAAGTATTTACTATAGTACTTTTTAGGGCCATGGCTGCAAGATTAATAGACCAAAGTTAATAATGTGACATAGCATAAAAAATCTTACATGTAAATACATTTTAACTCAAAATTTTGGACAAAAAGGAAAGAAGAGGCTGAGGAAGCTAAGGGTTCTGCTGAGATCGTGAGTGAGTAAGTTTTTATTTATATAGAGCTTTTCACAGACATTTGTCACAAAGATGCGTTACTGATCATTATTCATTCACTCATATCCAGTGATGAGTCACTGAGCTGCTATTGTAGCCACAGCTGCCCTGGGGCAGACAGAAGCATGGCTGCCAATCTGCACCATCAGCCCCTCAGATCACCACCATCACTCATGCACACACCACCAGCTTCATACTAGGCAATGTGGGTGAAGTGTCTTGCCTAAGGACACAATGACAGGTTTTGCCACTGGCGTCTCACTGTGGCACCTGATTTTCCCGTGGTCCATCCAAGTACTAATCTGGCTGGGCCCTGCTGAGCTTCTGACATCTGATGGGATCAGGCTTTGACAAGCCGGTATGGCCACAACGGTACAAAGAGAAAATGATACACATAAAAATATAAATACATATATATATGGGACAGTTGTATTAATTTATATATTCATTTAATTTATTGTATGTAATTATTTATTTTTAGATTAGTTTTATTTATTTATTTCTGTATCTAGATTCTGATGAAACCAAGTCAACTTGAGCATTTTTAACAAGTTTCAATCCACTATTCAAAACTTATGTATAACACTATAAGAAGCTGCAATTTCTTAAAGGCACACTATGTAACTTTTCTCTCAGAGTGTTTGTCACATGCTTGTCTCCATGAAAATAATATTGCTTTACCTCACAGTTACTTATCTCCATGGAGACAAGAGGTGACGCCACTAGAGCACGTCACAGATCACCAAAATGATACATATGATGGTACATAAGATGGTACATATGATGATACATAAGATGATACATATGATGGTACATATGATGGTACATGTGATGGTACATATGATGGTACATATGATGGTACATATGATGGTACATATGATGATGCTTTCCAAGGTATTTTTGAGCAATGAAAACAACTGTAATTGAATAAATGCAAGATTTGTTGTTTAATGTTATATTGTGGAAGCCTGATTCATCAGCCGGTTTCAGTTTGTAGAAATCATCTGACCTTGCAGCATTAGGATTCTTTCGCTCGACGGTAGGTGGGTACTTTTTTAATTTAACCAATCGCTGCTATTTGGTCGTGACCATAGACTGCATAAAAGAAGTGGACTAAGTGAGTGTGACGTCACCCATAGCGTTGAGCGTCGCTCAAATGAGGCTCACAATGTTCACGGTTACAGAAGCGAGTCTGAAGCCAGGCTCTATTTTATGAATAGGATTTTTTTGACAGACAAAATAGCGAAAAAACAAAATTCAGGATCATGTGTCGCAGGTTAAAATGAACATTTTAAGACCAAAATGATGAGGCTCACTGCAGCAGTTACAGAGAGAGGAGCGACGAGATCTAAATGTAAGTCAGTTGGAGCCAGAGTCAGAAGGAGCTGGAAGAGCCTCTTGACGAACTTCCTATTTGGCTCGTGGCGACGAGCACATTTGCTATGTCCACTCATATATACAGTCTATGGTTGTGACATATGTAATGTGCCGCAAACGGGGCTACTCGTATGTTAAACTTTTCCCAAATCCCATAGGAAGAAGGGCAATAATGTCTTTCCCCTTGATAAAATTCAGTAAACATTCTTTTTGTTCTGGCTTTAAATCCTCGATCTCAGGAGCACAGAATGTATGGCTCTTCACTGATTGGCTAGAGCCCTTCTGCACTTCCGGGTTTTTTCGAACCATCTTGTGTATTTTGATTCCAGACCTAGTCGACGGAGAGAAATGAAACTGAACGAAGGCACTAGGTGGCACCAGCCTGACTAATATTGTGGAACATTCCAGGCAAAGCAATAACATCTCCATGGAGACAACGGGGCAGCACACCCCATCAGTCTTGCATCACAATAAAGTTAATATATGCAAGTAATTATGACGAATGTCAGCAAGTTTACAATATTTAAAGATGCACTGTGTAACATTTCTGTCTATCTATGAGTAAGCCTTATCTATTTCCATGGAGACAAGCAAGTTAGAGGCCAAGTCTGTGGAGAGGCGACCCTGCTCTCTGTAAGAATACATGTTGTTCAAAGTATTTCTGTGCTATAAAAGACACCCACAGTTAAAAGCTATATCTGTGTTTAAAGCAACACTGTGGAACATTCTATCTTTACACCCTTGATCCAAATCAGTATTCCGATAATTCCGCATTATTATAAAAATGGACTTGCCTGCCTCTTTAGCCTGTCTGAATAACTCTTCGCTTTCCCCCTCGGTGAAAGAATGGAGGTAAACAACGCAAACTTCAATATTGGCTTTAAACTCTGCAATTACAGCTTTACTGCCCTGGGCTCCTTCGCTCTTTCGCTCCCTCTTTCACTCTCTCTCCCCCCTCTCTCTCTCCCGCTCCCTCCATCCCGCAGATCCATACATTCTATCCTCGTTTCTGTCCAAATTCGGCATTATCTTTGGGGCTTTGGAGCGCCGGGTTGGAGCCGTCTCTGGTGGTTGTCAATAGCGAGCGGCGTTCAATCAAAAAACTGTTTTCGCAGAAGAAGAGGTTTGAGGAGAGAGAAGAGAGAGAAAGAGAAATAGTCCATGTGTGATTGCGGTTTTAAATGTTTAATTATGAGTAAATAATGACAAAATAAACGGTGTAAAGGGTGTAGATTCAATACAGTTGACGATGTTTAAAGATGCAACTTTTGGAGAGCTAAACGCCTAGTCTCTATTGAGTTGGTTTAACTTTGCCCAAAAATGTTCCACAGTATGGTGTTAAAGGTGCAATATTTAACTTTTTTGATTGCTTGTTTCTATGGAGATGTCATTGCTCTGCCTGGAATGTTCCACAGTGTGACATTAAACAGCCATACTTTACATTTATTCAATTACAGGTGGTTTTATAGCTCAAAAATACCTTGAAAAACAACATTCTGACTGTGAGCGGGGTCGCCTCTCCGCAGATCTGACCTGTAACGTGGTCTGGTTTGGTCTCCATGAAGATAGAAAGGTTGAATACTATACTGTGGAGCAGAGGTAGAACCAAGTCTTTGTTTTGCAAGTCTGAAGTCTTTGACCCCAAGTCCGAGTCAAATTCCAAGTCAAAGACAGGCAAGTCCAAGTCGAGTCTCGAGTCATAGAAAAGCATTAACGTAAGTGACGTTGACCCTACATCGCAGCACTTCTGGCCGTTGTGAAAAAGTTCTAGTGAGGCTGCCAATCTGCACCGTCAGCCCGTCCGACCACCACCACCACCACATTCATAGTAGGCAAGACGAGTGAAGTGTCTTGCCTAAGCACATAATGACAGAACCCTACACTGTATTTAGAAATGGACATATCTGCTACGTTGACGTGAGCACGGTGGCACATCCGGCTGCATCGATTCTGGCTCGAATTTACTTCACATTGAAAAATTTTCACTCCTTTCTCTGTAACTGTTGCTGTGAACCTCGTCATTTTGGTCTTAAAATGTATGTCACACTTCTTAGTCCACTTCTCTATACTGTCCATGGACAGAACTTGGTCAGTGTTGGAATCGATCTTCTGACCTTCAGGTTAAACTGGGAGTACACTGTGCGATTTTTGGCCCTGTTTGAGCTGATTTTTGACTTGTGTGACTGTTTATTAGCCAGGAAATGGTGCCACCTAGTGCCTCCACTGAATTGAATTTCTCTCCAGCGACAAGGTCAGGAATCAGAATACACTAGACGGTTTGCAAAAACCCAGGAAGTGCGAGTTCAGGCACCAGCCAAACAGTGAAGAGCCAAACATTCTGTGTTGTCAACGATTCCCGAGATCGAGGATTTAAAGCCGGAACAAAGAGAATGTTTGGTGAATTTTATCAAGGGAAAGACGTTATTGTCCTTCTTCCTACAGGATTTGGGAGAAGCTTAATTTACCAGTTAGCCCCGTTAGCGGCGCATTACATATGTCACGACCAAATAGCAGTTAGTTGGTTAAATGACATAAAGTACTCGCCTAATGTCGAGCGAACGAATTCTATCACTGCGAGGTCAGACGGTTTCTACAAAGTGTAACTGTTTTCGGGATCGGGCTGAGTTTTCTCTTAATCATGTGTCGTGCTTTGTGTAGTAAACATGGGGTAACGAGAAGCGAT